CTGCTCCGAAGTAATGGTGCTACATTTCTCAGAACATACTTCATTTGGTCGGAGTTTGGAAACAGACTGGTTCGAGCACCGACACATCAAATGCACTTGAAGGTCGCAACGTTGACTGGCCAATGGGTGACCTATTCACGAGGTGGGTCGTCAATGGCGACCTCGTGGTAGGCGATGGATGCGCGCAGTTGCCAGTGCCTTTGGGCAACAGAAAGGCGGTGGCCTTAAGGCGTCCGCAAGCCCGAACAACCCGCAGCTTCGCAGAAGTACGCCACCAGAACCACGACAGTTTGACATCGCAAGCGACAACCTTTCCCGCGCGTGCCCCACGGAGTGGGCGCACCAGCGGTGATTGGCGCGCGAATTAGTTTAAAGTGATAGTAGACTTGTGCAATGCATCCAACGTACCCCCTCCCTCATCCCCCTCCCCCTCGACGATAAGACAGTATGAATTCGAACGGAGGTGACTGCGGACGCAGTGGTTGACAAAGTTGCTCAGCCCGTCTACACGGGCCACATGCAACCTGACCTTCAGAACTGAGCAGGACCGAGTTATTCCGTCGGATGGTAACCCGTCAAGCCGCAACTTTTAGCACGTCCTGATACAGTCAAGTGCGCCCTTTACGTCTTTAAGAAGATACCCTGCAAATGTCGTGAAATTTCGCAATGGATGCTTCATCAATAAACGGACAAGTACGAATGGTCGTCGCACGATCGCAAAAAGCTCATAATTGGCAACTTCTTGAAACCGAAAGATACTCCTTCTTCGAGCACAGAATTTAAAGAAAGCATAATTTGTCATCAAAAGAGTATGAGAAGGAATGCGTTTGTGCGTGTTCACTTCAAAATATATTTAAATTCATAGGGCATCGAAAATCACTGCGGAAAATGCATACAACATAAGTAGTCATTTATTACCGATAAAGGTCTTTACAGGAGGTCAAAGAGAAGTACGTCTAAAAGCCAACATCCTGACTAATCCGAGATATTATGGGATTGTGCTGCAAGATAATCAACATTACAACCCCAGCTAAGTAATCCTTCCTAATCGAAAACGCATTTCCGAATTTTGGCTAGTATTTCATGGGATCAGTCACCGACTGTACACATTTTTCTCAAAACGGCTATTTTGTGGAATAGGCAGAGATGACGAAAATGAGGTCTGACGTCAAGGATTGAATTCTCAGGAAACTGAGGATCTCCCGGTAGGCAGGCTTCAGCAAACAGTTTTTCGTAAGGGGGGGACAGTGCACACGATGCCCCAGCGCCTACGTAAATAAAATAACGAGCAGCAGAGAGGGGAATGGCCAATTCTACGATTTTCTCCGCTTCACCAATTTAATTGCACAGCGAGCAGTCAGATACATTGTTCCTGGTGACCCCAGTCGACTCACTGATCTGGCTACACTGAGCTGATTGGTCGGCTGACTTGCAGTCATGACATGCAACAGTCACGATTTGCATCCCCTAAAGACCAGATCCTCGCCGAACACTGCCTTTCATAGACCCGACTATAAGGAGAAACCATAGACATCGGCGATGACTGAGCCGCAAAGTTATGGAAAGAAAGTACACCGGGACTTGTTTGAGATTTCGTGAAATGCAAAATACTTAACCGTCCATCATCTATTAACTCCGATGGTGCGACTGTGAAGGCAACCTTGAGAACGAAAAGCTTTAAATTAGACCACCTTCGCTTGGGTAGGGAGAGTCCGTGATAAACGGGAGCCAGTTTCCACAAGTGTACGTAGAAGAGGGTGGAAACATTGAGGAAGACTTGGGCACCTTGCTTGGCGGATTTTAAGCCCCTGTCTTCGAAACCCCACATGCACTTGAAAGAACTAGCTTGTATTCGGTCGCCTTTTCGAGGGAAAAATTTTCAGGAGTTATACCGGACCTCAACATACGCTACTCCGGGGATTCGCTGAGTGCTTCCCACCAAAATAAGACTCCGATTGGTCACCTTTAATTTTCGATAAGTTGTCCCGTTCATTCCACTAGTCTGACTTACCTAATCAGGATCAGGTTTTTGAGCGGTTACATGTCTGAGAATAAAATGAAGTTCGCCAAGTGATGAAGTTAGACCGACAAGTAGGACAGTTCGATCGTTGTTGCCGACGATGTCCACCGTGTGCTCCACAGCAGGGTGAGAGCAGAGACAGTGACTTTCGCGTGAAGCAGTCTATAGTGATAGAAGACTTTCGCAGCACCTATCGCACGCTCTCCTCCCACGGCGTCGAGTCATCCAAGAAGACTGGAGACAGAGGAGGGCCTAGGTAACTGGCAGGCCGTAAACCCACAGCTAGGCGTACCATCACACCCCCTGATCCACAACGGACGCTGGTCAGGAGTTTACACCTCAAAACAAATAGGGGAATGGCACGGATCCCACTTGGCGCGGAGTGGACTGAAAATTGGGTATCCAACCATATACCATGCCGGACTCCGATTTGGCCCCTGTGTTATTCCAGCGCATCTGCCAGGTGACCCACTTTAGGTACGATGCCAACAACCAGGAAAAGGCAGAACACACGGCTGTAGGGAACATTAGGGACCATTACATTCGGACGTATATTAATC